TTTACAAAGTTTTACAGTGAAATGTGAACTTGGTCTTGGCTTGTCAGGCTGGTCACGGGAAGGAAGCAAATAGAGGAGGACAGATCGGTTAGTGTGGATACAGGAAACTTGCAGTTTTACGGAGGCTTGGATTAATACCTGCTCAGAGGGTATTCTGATCGGCAGAGGGGGGAATCTTGTAGGTCCAGAGGCTGGTCAGCAGGCTGAGGGCAGAGGCAGAGACGGAGGCTGAGGCGGAGGGCAGACAGGCAGGTTCCAGGCAGCGATTGTTTTCTCCAGGATTAAACAGATATCCAGATAAGTCAGGATCTGAGAGGCAGAGGAACACAGGATCAGACTAGTTCACAAAAAATCAGAGAATCTGATCAGAGAAGCTGGCTCAGGTTTTGCTGGTACCATTACTGCAAACACTCTGGCAGGGAAGTGTCAGCCTCCTCCTCCTTAAGAAGGCCTCCTGATCAGCAGATGGGAAACAGGTGTGTAGAAGTCAGCTCATGCCCTCAAAAGGGAGATCTCAGGCGCCCTCTGGTGGAGAAAGTTAGACAAGCCTCCAGATCCCAACACTAACCTATTTAAGGGTTATGTTATTGCTCTGTTAATAAGCTTTCAAATTTTTTTTTTATTTCCATCAGGCTCAGAAATCTTTGATTTTTTTGTCATATTGTATTTATATAAAAAAACAAAAAACACTAGGGCTTCAAAAAGACTAAATTAGCAGATGCCAAATTCCGATGTAGAGATATAAATATCAGATTATAATGCTATTTATTCAATTTTCCTTGTGCAAAGCTAATAGTACAACCTAATTTTAAGACTGACTTATTATTTGCAAAATGTTTCAGCAATTTTTATGTTATTACACTTGCAGCAACATAGAAACAGTTGAGGATGCTGAATGGAACAAAATGTATACTCTCCTATCTCCTTTTGACTGCTTCAAACTAAGCTGAGTGAAGAAAGTGCATACTGATTAAATAAACATGGCCTTTGTTTTCTCTCTTTTTGCCTGCCTGACACGCCTTGCTTGTAGTGTTGGCTATCTGTTTTTAATAAAGCAGATTAATCAGGCTTATTAGTATTCCAGAACATACCTTTCAGTTGTTTCTCGGGGCACGAATCAGCTGTGTCATAAATTTGAACTGTTAACATGTGGGGTGTGGATGTAACTAATGGACAGCCAGTTCCTGCTACAGTGAGGTGTTTAGCTGCTCAAATTGATGGATTTCTGTGACACAGTGTCACTTAATGGACAGCAGATCCATCACTGAATTCTCTGCAGGTGAACCACCCTCTGTTGTATGTTCATGCCTGAAACAACTTATTTTAGTTAATTGTTCCTGTCCCTTACTTTGTATGGCTATGATGTACTGCTCCTTTTACTGATAAATGGTTACTGGGCAGCAAATAATTTGTCATTCTACTGGAGTAAAAGTCAAAATAGGGAATTGGACTTTAAACATGTGATAAATAAGCAGTCTTATCAGTATGATTGATATTCTCTCTTTTGCCTTGGTGCAGTGTACCATCCATAATGCAGTCTGACAGGCCACAGTTAGCATCAACTTTCATTATCAGGGAAACATTATTGCAAACTTCTCGGCCTTGTGGCAGAAAAATTAAGATTTCCTTTTGAAGGAAAGATTGTAACTCAAAAGTAATGAGTCTTTAAAAAAAAAAAAAATCTCTTATCTATGTGAAGTGTGCAGTGTGCAATGTCAACATCAAGTCGAAGTTTCCAGTCAATACACATTACTACGGAGAAAGAGATACAGCTGATAAAGGATGAAGTGCAACTTGGGTCAATGAGTGAACTGTACCTTTAGAATTGCAACGATAAGCAGACTGGAGTCAGTTCAGGCTGAGGCAGCGTTTTCAAGCAGTCAGTCCTAATAAATGAGTGCTTGTTCTCACTGGGTAACCTATTATTTCTAAAAGATTTTCTCTTTAAGCTGAAATCGGTATGCATAGACTGAGAAATCTTTGTGGATAATGTGTAACCATCTTTCAGGCTGTCATGAACGTGTTCTGATTGCGAAGGTTGAACTGCGGGCAGGGAACATGTCTGCTCTAAAGGTTTGTAGGATGCTGTTAACCCTCATTAGATGCTCTAAACAACAGAAAACACTGCAGCACTAAACTTTCCAAGTTTATGACAAAACTTGTTAACCTTGTCTTAAAATAATAAGTATTCCTGTATTAAAACCCCAATAATATATATATTATCCATATCCTAACATTACTGTATAATCTACATATAGATTCAGTATTTATTAGATATATATAATCCATATCCTAAAGTTCCTGTATCATCTATATATAGATTCCATATTTATTATATATATATATATATATATATATATATATATATATATATATATATATATATATATATATATATATATATATATATATATATATATATATATATATATATATATATATATATATATATATATATATATATGTGTGTGTGATCTAAACGCTGGATAGATCCAAAATAAATTTAATTCCTTTGTACTTGTGACAATACAAAGCAACGACAATAAAGTTTAATTCTATTCTATTCTAGTCTATTGATAACACATAAGCTACGAGTGACAGCTGATTTTAGAGACCAAAAAGACACTAATGCTATGTTTAAAGCAGGAAAAAAGCTTCTGCTGCTTAATTTTTGATGCTTGTACACATAATGGTCAGACATGCGGCAAGAGAAGCTTTGACGCTCCTGAAGCGAGTCCAGTAAAGTGCGTCAAGATGCGCCTGATGCTTCTGCTGCTCCTGTGTTCAATGGCAGAGAGCGGCTTTGCTATATTTGCTGGTATAAGTGGGTAAAAAGTAGTTTTAATATGTTTTTTAAGTGAGAAAGTCCACCTGAAAACTTCATCTGTGCAGTCAGTTAATCAAGATTACAATCCTGCCTTCAAATATTATTTCACTGTCAGAGCCGCTCAGACCCTCGTACACCAGCGGAGCTCTTTCCCTGGAAATTTCCGCTACTGGAAGGCATTTTTTACAGCCATAATCCAAACTGCAGGCACCAGAATAATAAAAATCTAACATATTTTGCTGGCAGGTTTCAACATTTTAAGTTAATTTAGGTGTTGCTAAACTGTTTCAGGGTAGTGCTTATAGTGATCTGCTTCAGCAGTGCTGTGTCAATCTCCCTGCCTGCTCCCAGATGAGCTTGTCTGATTGGTTGATGCGGCGCGTCAAGCAGCAAAAGTTCAATTTTTCCGACTCCAGCAGCTGCTGTTGCAGCGCGTTGTGAGCATTAGATGCTCAGATGCTTCAGCTGCTCAAAACACGCTTCAGGATCTTTTACTGTGCCTTGATGACTTTGCATGTAAACTAGCTTCTTTTGCTGCCTCTAGCGCCTGCGATCTGAGCGTAGTATCTGAGTGTGTTTTTCTTTAGTAGATAAAGATTAGAATTTAAGAAACAAAATGTTAAATAGCAGTAGTTTATATTGGTAGTTGGAGCTTCTCTGGTGAGGGTTTATGACATGTGGGCATCAGTGGATTAATCACTAGATAATCAGAGTGAGGAGTGGTGAAAAATTGACATGGTAAGAAAAGTTTTCCTTCCACTGCAACCTAAAGGATCTCATCCAAACAAATGAAAAGAACACTTTGAGAAACCAAAAGATAACTATTAAAAGATAACACTAAAGATAAAATTTTAGTTTTTTTTGTTTTTTTCCAAATTGCCTTTATCTGGAGACAGATCTGATACAGAAGGATGTAAAACTGCAGAAATAACATATAATAATGTTAGCTTTTCTACAAATAGAATTTGCTGCAGGCATCAAGGGGCAATTTCCCACTGTTCAAACACCACATGATTCCTTTCATCTTTGATTTTTACTGACCGCTAAGTCCTGTTGTCTTACGTTTTTATTGTTTTCCTTTCTCGACGTCCCTGCGAGATGCTCCCACTGATGCAACACGAATTTATGTCCTTTATCGAGCGGGTCCGTGTGTGCGTTTCTGTGTGTTCATGCAGACTGTTTGTGAACCTTTCAGTACTCTCAAACATCAGGCGCTTTATGCTTCTCTGGTGGCAGACAGGAAGGGAGCCTCTAGTCACATTTTTTCATCATTACCTTCGTTGCCCTCCTTCATCTTTCTCCCTTGGAAGTTAAAAAAGTAATCAAAGGCTCAGCATCCGACAGCATCTTTACTTCCTCTCTGTCAAAATTTCCCTTTCCTTCCCTTGAATTTATTGCAGACACTAGGACGAAAGCTCCTCTTTTTAAAGGGTGCTGAAAAAAAATCTGCTGTTGGTCTCAGTGGAGGTGTTTTTGTGCTTCTATTGACATCTTTGCTAAATGCAGGATGCTCTGCCACTCATTTAACAGCACTGTGACTTTGTTCCTTCCTCTGGGAGCCAAGCAGGCCTTTGTATTCTGGCAACTGCCTAAGAACTTGCCCTCCTCCGCACATCGTCCTGCCTGTCGCATCATCCCAGAATTAACATGGACATGCTGCTTAGCAGACCACAGAGATGGGAACCAAGCAGCTCTCTGGCTGGAGAGTCAGACTAAATCCCGGATCAGTGCAGAGGAGAGTGCAAGCTTCTTGGAGAGAGAGTCTTGGCTGGATGGGTGGAGATTTTTGGACATTAGAGCTTTTGCAAATAAAGCGCTGGATTAGGAGTAAATGATGATGAAAAAAAAACAAAAAACTGCAGGGTGTTAATAGGGGTCTTCTGGGTAATCCAGTGTTTTATTGGCTTGTTCTTTTCTCTGTGTGTGTATGAGTGTTTTTGTGTGTACTGGCTGTACCTAATGATGGTACTATCTTCCATGTATCACTTATGTAGCATATGTTGAGCTCCATTACCTCTGACACTGTCAGATGGATTTGTTCCTCCATGTACAGATGGATTGATACCTTCAACCTTGAGCCATTTAGACCTGAGCTATAAGTATGTCATTAATCTTTGTTTAATGTTAAACACGGATGAAAATGTGTATTATTTTTCTCTTTGTTTTTGTTTAGGATGATGAGCCAATTGTTGGAGGTGCTGGGAGCAGATACCAAACCCACATTCGAAAGTTTCTTAGCCAGAAACACAAGAAGTTACTATGGAATCCAGAGGTAACACCAGACTTACCATCCTTATTTTCATTTTGTCTTCCCTTGTTATTTTATGTAATACTCACCCTAAGAATTGATTTTCCGTTTATTTCACATTTTGGCATTGCACCCAGAAAGGTTGGCTTGTTTTATCTTCATCTATGAGATTTGGTCATAATTCTTAACTGGAAGGAAATGAAAGCATGGTTTTCTGTTTAGTGTGCTCTTGTATTCAATCCCATTCATGTAAACCTACCTTTCATTGTAACTACAGTTGCAAGTTTTTTGAGTGGTTTCTTCCACCCAGAAACCAAAATATTGCACATCCTTCTTTGCAAAATAACTCAGTCCGATTATGTATAATGTCTCACAACTTCTACAGTATTTTACTATTTCAAACTCTGTACTAAATATATATACCTGCACTTATGGCTTTTGTAATATATATTGGATATAAATTATTCCATTATAGTGATAGTTAACAAGTAACAAGTCAAAAGTTTTCCTCAAAGATTACCCTTTGTTTAGATCTGAGCATACTCTTATCCTCTCTAAACAGCTTCTCTATCCCTGCTGAATAAAAGTAACTCTACAATATGGTGGTGCCTCCCCCATGCTTTAACATAAAGGTATCCTCCTCCTGGTTATGATTAGTGTTAGTTTTCTGCATAAAGTGTTTTTTAAACCTTGCCTGCAAGCTTAATGCTAGCGGTATTTGCACCTTTACATACACAAAATAATTAATCTCACACTGCAACTGTCAAGACAAAACAGAATAATCGATCACATTCGATAATGAGGTTTCAGACAGGACACACGGCTTTGACTAAAGCAAGAGCTGCTGAGCCTCACAGCTGAACCAAAGTCAAAATTTAAATGCAGGAGGACATGTGCATAGCTGCTGATTTCATCTGAGTGATCTGAATGGTAGAGCATATGATTTCATTGTTGAAGGAGAAATGACAAAACGATACAAGCATAAGTTGTTTTGATTTTTCTTGGTGTGTGTTGCTCTTTCATTTCTTACCATTATTGGCTGAAATAAAACTTTTAAGTTGGGCACTAGGTGTGGAGCAGTGCAAGATTTTTAATGTGTAGAGCTAAATCTGAGTGATACAGATTAGCACTATGGCTTACCATTTTGCAAATAGGGCCAGGTTGCAGTAATCTATCACTCAGTCAGAAGCGATAAGAACACAGCATTTTGAAGGTTGGTGATCAATGTTTCTGTCTGATCAGAATGCAGGTATGCATGGTTCATTAGTTTAAACCTTTTGGATGGGTGTTAAAGGAATAGTACACCCAAAACATGATTAGCCTTCATTTTCTACTCATTCCCATGCTGAACAACACTCTGGAGTACTTTTTTGATATCTCAAATGCATCTGGAGATCTGGGAGGCTTCTTGCTGTCTGCTGACATTCAAATAATGGAGGTCTATTGTGCCCGAGACAGAAAGGTCCATTAAAGTCCACAAAAACGTGTCAATATTCCTCCATACTGCTCGTCCAATGTATTCCAAGTGTCCTGAGTGGGTAGCGTCCATAATTTACTCGAAACGAAGTCATTTAGAATGTTTTTAGAGCATAAACAGTAGTGTATAGGATTTCCTGAAAGCGCGCACATGCGCGTTCACGACGCTACGGAAGCCGGCAGACCAAACCAGCGCATTCAGCTCGGCAAAGAACTCATGCTCTTCCTCAACACTGAAGTCCTCAGACATTTTTCTTTCGTTGTTTCTTTCTTTGCACAGGTAAACGGCACATTTCTTCTTCTACGCTTGCATTATTGGCAAAGCAGACGCTGAATGCGCACTTTCATCTGGTTTGGTCTGCCGGCTTCCGTAGCGTCGTGATCGCGCATGTGCGCGCTTTCAGGAAATCCTATACACTACTGTTTATGCTCTAAAAACATTCTAAATGACTTCGTTTCGAGTAAATTCTGGATGCTACCCACTCAGGACACTTGGAATACATTGGACGAGCAGTATGGAGGAATATTGACACGTTTTTGTGGACTTTTATGGACCTTTCTGTCTCGGGCACAATAGACCTCCATTATTTGAATGTCAGCAGACAGCAAGAAGCCTCCCAGATCTCCAGATGCATTTGAGATATCAAAAAAGTACTCCAGAGTGTTGTTCAGCATGGGGGTGAGTAGAAAATGAAGGCTAATCATGTTTTGGGTGTACTATTCCTTTAATCTGCAAGAGGCTGGTGATAAAATTACTAATTCTGTACCCATTAAATGTTATGTCTGGAAACTTTTGAATGGACCCAGGAAGAGATACAGGGGTAATAACTTGGCACAAAGGCATAGGTATTACAGGAAAATGGGCAATATTGATAATGTTATTTATTTAACTTCGGATGGGGCATTTTTAAAGCAGGCACTACTGAGATTACACGTTTGAATTAATTGGTATATATATCACAGCTTGCTTCTTAATGTACTGTAGTCAACTCACCTAAAGCAAAGAAAGGGATCAGTAGACAGGCCAATTAACAACATATTAGTAAGCAGAAAATCAGCTCTTGATTAGTCACATGCAGTGGAGTTTTCTCCAGGGGGGCTATTCATTCAAAATAGACCTACAGGTATACCAAAAACCAATCGAACGTTTACTAAGCTATCATGATTTTTGTTGTTGGCATTCATATAAATAAACTGGATATTTAAATGAATGCCAACAACGAAAAATTTTTTTAAAACACTTCATAAAAACAGAAACATCATTTAATGTACAGGTTTACTTTTTGTACATACATTTTGCAGCTCTGAGGCAAAATAATGTAATGCATGGTGCTATATTGTATCACAAACCTAGAAAACCTATTTATATATATATATATATATATATATATATATATATATATATATATATATATATATATATATATATATATATATATACTATTTATTTTCTGAGTATGTGTTTATTTAAAAGCAGCTATGCAAATTAACAAACATCTAGAAAAAGTACACCATATTATATTATTTTCCATGTGGATCCCAGATTGTTCATTCTTCTTTGCCTTTTCTAAAAAGTGCTTTAAATCATTCATACCTGTCTATATCCATGCTTGGTCAGATCCTGAGATTTGAAAAAGGAGGCAGGCAGTCAAGGCAGCAGAATAAAGCGTTGGCCTCGCTGCATGCAGTTAGCCAAGCCTAGTAGCTAAACTAGAACTAGACTATGAAACGTCTCCCTCTGTCTTTGGATGACTGACTAATTTTGATGTTCGGCTGATCAGGTCCAAATGGTTTCACCTCCAGCTTCTCTTGGAAAGTTTGCTTTAAGGCAGGGGTGCCCAACCTTTTTTAAACCAAGATCTACTTTTGAAGTTGATTGCATGCCAAGATCTACCAAGCCAAACACAAGGGATGGGCAGTATTTTTTTTTTATTTGCACAGGTGGAAAATAAACAGTTAGTCCAACAAACGAGGAAATTATCAATTGTGTCAAAAAATAGGTTGCAAAAACAGAACTTAACAATCTCACAAGAACTTCACACCATATCTCACTCACTCACTCATCATACTCACCAAAACTACAGAAAAGAGTAGTCAAGATCTCCAGACAAAGGCTGTGCAGTCAAAAAATGTAAATAAACCAATTGATACACGAACACACAGTCCAGTAGAGATGAAAAAAAAAAAATGTTAGAACTGTAAATTTACAGTCATATGTTTATATCACTGTTTATATATATATATATATATATATATATATATATTCCCTGCATACTTTTTATTTTTCATTTTATTATTATGAAAATCTACATTGGCCTCTCATGATCAATTATTTGATTAGTGTTTCTTAAAACTTTTTTTTTCTGTCATAGCCATAAATAGGTCTACATTGTAAACTTCTCATGATCTACTGAAACTCCGCCCACGATCGACTAGTAGACTGCGATCGACTGGTTGGGCACCCCTGCTTTAAGGGATTACACTTCCGCGACTTGACCTGTCAATTAGCCACATTACAACTGTGGCGACAGTTCCTGTCAGGGCGCAGCTCTTTTTGCGCCCTTAATGCGGAACTACGTCACCAATCCAATGATGAACAAAACAGCTTTATTCGACATTAAAGATTAAATATTTATCTTGCACATCTAATAAAATATATTGATGTATTTTGAAATATTTTAATTCTATAATTAAACTTTTATTTGTTTTTTTTTTAATGTTTTACTCAAGGTCATTGGTCGGGTGGGGCGGCGCCCTAGCACCCTCTATTGGACAGCCGCCACTGGTCAGATGTTTAGATGAGGTTAATCAAAGGTTTAGGGCATGCATTTGTGTCTGGAAACTAAACTTGTAAAATCTGATTCATAATTTTCTTTGTAACTAATGGTCAGCTTAACAACTTGTGTAAAACTTTGTGTGTTGTTCTTCTGGGCAACCAGAGGCAAAGTTAAATTCATTATTATTATTATGCATAAGAAATGACTGACTTTCTCTTCTCTATTCTTAGTGCATAACTTTCTAACAAATTAAATTGTTTTTTTGTTTTTTTTTTGTTTTTTTATAAGAATGTATTTAAAGGATGTCTGAATACAGCATCAACTGAATATAATAATCTAACATTGATTCCGTCTCTCAAAACGGCTTTCACTCTGTTCCCTTAGCATAACTATCACACCATATATATTTATGCTAAAGTAACAGACACAAAATCCCCCACATAATATAGTTCACATCACTAGAGTCAATTGTCTTGTCTCTTTTTACTGTCAAGGCTCTGTGCATGGAAAATTATTTTATTTTCCATTGCACTTTCAAAAAGACGATTCACTTTGAAAAAAAAACTGTCTGGCTGGGATGAAAGCCAAACATCTCTCTGAATCTTGGGCATGTTGACTATAAAAACAGAACAAATTAAACTTGATTTTAAGGCTGAATCACAGCATGCCTGTTTTATTCTTCTTCCCTTTTTTGTTCGTGTGAAGACCACAGGAGATTTTCATAGTGTTGAACACGATTTCACTGACTAATGATATTTTCTTCTTTGTCAT